AAGAGAGATGGAATTGCACACACATTGTTCAAATTGCTTGTAAATCTTTTACAAAGTTAGTTTTAGTTTGTCAATTACACAATGCACTTAGATATAATCATAACATTTTCCTCCCAAATGAAAACAAGTTCTATTGTGTTTTATGACATACAGAAAGGCAAAAAGTGAAGGACATGCTTTGGAGAGTCTCGGAATTATTAGGTAATGGACGAGAAGCACTAGTTAATTAAACATACATTGATTCAGTTTATATCTTTTTTTGTACTGCTTTTTTATTTTTTATTTTTATAGTTGTACACACATTGATTCAATTATAAGTTACCATACCTACGATTTATGCAATTGCAGTGCCTCCCATTAAACACATACGAGAGCTAAAATTGAAGCACAATCAAGCACTCAAACTAGTTAAATACTTATGTGAGCAAGTCAGATCTTTAGAAGACTTGGAAGCTTATAGATCACTTGCTAGAAATCCACTCCTCGTAGCAGCAAAGTTAGGGATTCACGAGATTATAGAAGAGATTGTGAATTCGTTTCCTACAGCAATTCTTGATCAAAACTCAGAAGATCGAAACATATTTGAACTTGCAGTTATAAAGCGCCACGAAAATGTTTTCAACCTGTTGTATCAAATGGGTGAGTATAAACAATATATCACACGATTGATAGATAATGAAGGGAACACACTGCTACACTTGGTTGGAAACAAAGCACCTATAGAGAAACTCAATGTTGTTCCTGGTGCAGCTCTGCAGATGCAGCGTGAGTTACAATGGTTTAAGGTAATACAATACTTCTTTCTATTCCAAGGACTAATTACTGATGTATGCTAGTAATGTCTGTGTGTGAGCATCTGCATTTCTTTTGCCTAAGTATGTGTAGTTTCAATTTAAGATCAAACAATAATTTTTCAAAATTTAGTCTTAAAAAAGACAAATACATTGATCCATTATTTCAAAATGCTTGGCTATCGTACAGGAAGTGGAGAAGTTTGTGAACCGAGTTATATAGAAATGCAAAATGACGATGGAGAAACTCCTTCAACAGTTTTCACCAATAAACACATGGATTTAGTAGTTGAAGGAGAGAAATGGATGAAAAACCGAGCGACCTCATGCACATTTGCAACAACACTCATTACTGCTATAGTATTTGCTGCTGCGATGACTGTTCCAGGTGGGAACAATAACACAAGTGGACTCCCAATTTTCTCCACAGAAAAAGCATTTATTGTTTTTCAGTTTCGGATGCAATTGCTCTATTCATGTCCACCACTTCTCTTCTGATATTCTTGTCCATACTCACTTCACGATATGCTGAAGACGATTTTCTCTATGTTCTTCCCCATAGGCTGATTGTTGGCTTTGTTACATTGTTCTCTCCATAACAACCATGATTGTAGCCTTTAGCTCGACAATCTGTCTTATGTTGGGTGACAAGAACAGCTGGCTACTTAGTTTAGTTGTTACATCAGCATGTTTACCAATTTCTTCTTTCATGCTCCTACAGTTCCCCCTCCTTGTGGATCTCATGTCTTCAACATATGGACCTGGCATTTTCGGCAAGCAAAGTAATCGGTCTTTTTATTAAGATCAACAACAAGATGAAGAATTCCAATCATATATCATCTAGTTTCATCATTGTAACCAATAAATGGATTATGGTCCCTAAGTTTTCTTCTGTAATAAAAACATGTTGGCAATGTTCAACATGAAAAATTGTGTGCAAATGATAGTAACATATACAAGTGCAATGGATTTTGGAAAAACGTTTGTTTTGATTTAGATTTTGAAAAAGATTAAGAATTGCCACTTGGTTTCAGGGTAAATCAAGGAACCAAAATGTTTGACTCCAAAATAAGGCATGGTCTAACTTCACTGAAGACGGTCTTTGGCGGCTAAGGTACAAGATGGGAAGGTGTGAGACACGTCTTGCCTGACCATAAGGCCAGCTTTTACTTATCAGTATTGGTTCGTTAATTAAATTTGTTAGGTCTTTGATTTGGCGGTTCGGATCTCCTGTTCCAAAAGCCTGTCCCAACTCTTATCCCTTAATTCTCATGCTGACATGTGTCTAGTCTTAAAGATCAATTAAACTCTGTTAGCCTTCTGTTTTGTATGGATTCTCTCTCAACCCAACAAATATGACTCATCTAAACCTGAGAATAGGAACAGAATCAGACAGATAGACCATCTATCATCATCAAAGATTTCATGTTCTTGGCTATTGACACATACTATTTACAGATACCAGCAATCAAAAGTATTGGAAGTAGCCATTGGTATCATTCATACCTGCAAACTAGATGTATGAACAAAACCAGCAAGATTTAAAATAGGGAAATTTGCGAATTGGGCTTACCTTAATTACACAACATACAGGTAGCTTATATGTGACATTATATATATATATATATATATGGTGTTGTTAACATTAAAAGATGAGAAAGAGGGTGATTCGCCGCATCGTCTTCATCGTCGACGATTGGTAGTGGATCTCATGAAATTCGTAGCGCAACTGCGACGGCGAGCAGATCTGGTTGCTGTTGGCATACTCCAACCAGGCAGATCGTGCAATCAGCTCCGTTGAACTTTGAGATGCAGCAGATCAGCCACTGTTAAACATTTACAGTGACTGGATTCTTACTATGGCCCCTTTTCGGGGCTGCGGAACAGCCACCTTGTGGCGATGATTTGGTCTGACCACGGTGATGAAGCCAAAAACAGATTAAGGTGCGCAGCAAGGTGCGAGGACACCACGAAGTCGGAAGGTAAGGGATATGACAGATGAGTTGTGAATTAGGACAGGCTTTTGGAACAGGGGACCGAAGCCTTGATTTTGTTAAAATTTACCCACTTACCATCACCTACCACACACTCACCTACTACACTCACCTACCACCACCTACTCCACTACACCTACATCTATATAAAGAATCCCTCACCATTGTAATAGATATCAGAAATCAATCATAATACATCAGTTTATTTTACATGGTATCAGAGCAGGTTTAGAACCTAGTATTTTCACTAGTATTTTCGCTTCCCGGCGGGCGGCAACCTCACCTAGCCGCCGCCGGACCTCAACCTAGTCCGCTACGTTTTTTTTTTGTTTTTTTTTTTTTTTCCACATCCTCGCCCAAGCAAAACCTCCAAACCTTCGGACGTGACCGACGGACCAGTTCTCAGCTTCATCCACAAGCGCCTCCGTGCCCTCCGCAAGCAGAACACATCGGCTCTCCAAGCCTTCTCCGCTTAAAGTTCCTGCATCAAGGAACCCTGCAGACATCGAATCAGCACAGAGATGGGAGTGTCATTCCACGAGTTGCCACATTCTCTTGCAATGGAAGCCACAGATTCAACAAGAAAACCTTTAACTTTCATCCCTGTGATCCGAAACCCCGATGGCTCCATCACCGGGTCCTCCATTTCCGCACCTCTCCACCTGTACCCGATCCCAACTTTTCCACCACCCTGTTCTCTCCAAAGACCTGTCTCTAAACCCACTTCACAGCAACCCCATGCGCCATTGTCGTCTCAATTTCTCATCGGTGTCGGAAAACGGCGTTGATCGGACGGCCCTAAGGTATAATAGATCTATGATCTTTGATGATGATCATCGTCAACTCCAGTCTCCATTTGGGAGTCTCAGCTTCGTCTGAGAGGGTCCTCCGATTAGGAGCTGTGACGAGGGAAATGGATGGCTTAGTTGAGGATAATCTGAAGGTGGAGGCAGATGGGAAAGGAGATGAAGCAGAAGTCTTCTCTGGTCTCTCTCTCTCTCTAATAATATCAACCCATATGCCCCACATGCCCCCCACGATATTTCCCTTTTATTCCCACTTCCGTTTATTCTTATTCTTCTTATGAACCACCTCAGAACCATGTGCATCCCTTTTATGACACTTTCTTTATTTTATTATTTTATTTTATTTTACAAAAAAAAAATAAAAATAAAAAAAAAAAAAAAACAAACCAAAGCCACCCACGTGGCACTCTTTCTTTCGTTTAATTTCTAAATCTATTATTTTTATTTATTTTCTCTAAATCCCTTTTTTAATCTCTTTCAAATACCCATTTTTTATTATATACTCAACATTCCCATCATTCTTTTCCACTCCAATATATTATACTAGCCTTCATTGATTCCCCTATCTTCCACCCCTTCCTTTTATTTATTATTATTCTTCTTATTTTCCCCACCAAAAAAAAAAAAAAAAAAAAAAGAGGGAGAAGATGAACTGCAAACCAAACTCATTTTATTCCTGTTGGGGCTCACCCCGATCACCATTTTACACCACAGCATAAAAAAAAAAAAAAAAAAAAAACACAATCGGCACAGTGGATTTTTTCTTCTCTACTCTGCGCCGGTCTCTTCTTTTTGCCTCCGTCATGGGCGGTCCTTGACGGTGTTGCCTCCGTGTTTCCATTCCACTGGGCCCAATCACTCCTGCTCCTCCACTGCAGCATATGGCGGCCCTCCAAATCGGAACATCACGGTGGCCTTCCGCTTCAGCTCCTTGTTTTCTGCCCTTAGCACGCTTATCTCTGCTCGCGCATCCTTATACATGCGTTGGAGCAGAGCCAGCTGGGAGTTTAAATGCTGCACCTCATTTGTCCTACTCTGCAGCCGGTTCGACAAATTTGTGACCGCCGTCATGCTTTCCACACATGCCTTCAAAGTATACTGATTGGCCTCCACATCCGACAGCACTGCCATTCTTTGCTCACAGACCGCATCGGAAAGTTCAACGGAGTAAACTCCGGGGCGCTTGGTTGAGTTTCCAGTGCCACCGCACCAGTTCTCTCTCTCGTTGACTCGTTGAGGTCGGGAAAGAGGGTGAGCAGCCCGCGGGAAGACGAAGCCATTTTTTCTGGGCTACAAAGTGTTCCACAGTTTCTCTCTCCGAAGAGGCAGAGTTTTTCAGAGAAGGTTGGTTTCAGAGGTTTCAGAATGGTACCTATGCCTCAGCCTCAGCCTTCGTCTTGGTTTAAATAGCCAAGGCCGATCCGCGCATCGCGCGCCACTTGCCGACAGACGACAAACGGGCGCGCCAACCAAGGCACCCACGTGCTTCGCCATCATGTCCGGCACGCCTTTTGATGGCACGCCTTTTGATGGCACACCTTTTTATGGATTGGGCATGCCTTTTGAGGGTGCGCCTTTTACAACGGTCCGACATGACCCCATAAACTGTCTTCTACATCGGTCTGACACCGCCATACAGTGTCCTCTACCACGTTATGACACCACCATACAGTGTCCTCTACAATGTTATGACACCACCATCCAGTGTCCTCTACCACGTTATGGCACCACCTTTCAGTGTCTTCACCAACGGTCTGACACGACCATGCCGTGTCTCCTATCTTTTTTTTTATTTTTATGTATTTTCTTGTTTTGTTCCTCTCTTCAAACTCAAGTTGGTTAGTTCCTATCCTCCTTGAGTTTGCGGGGGGACTGTTAAAATTTACCCACTTACCATCACCTACCACACACTCACCTACTACACTCACCTACCACCACCTACTCCACTACACCTACATCTATATAAAGAATCTCTCACCATTGTAATAGATATCAGAAATCAATCAATAATACATCAGTTTATTTTACAGATTTGGACTGCATGAATGACAATTATGGAAAGCGATACACATATAAATGAAGCTAATATAAACTAAGTAGTGGAATAGGGAAACTACTCCATGGAATTGCAACTCAAGTTTGTGAAATCTCATGATCAAATTGTTAACATATTCACAAAGCCTCTTAAGTACGAATACTTTACATAGTTTTGGACTTTGCCTGGCGTTACAAAAAATTAAGTTTAAAGAGGGGTGTTGAAATAATAAACATAATTTTAGTTAAGTTAATTTACACATTTCTAGAGGTATATATTTATGTTTTGTTCATTTATTTTTGGGGTTCATATATTTCTAGAGTGAATGTATTTAGGAAGATTCATGTATGATTCATTGGATACAGAAATTGATTTATTTCTACGCTTG